GTCGGTGGCGGGCGATGACGATATGATCGATCGCCGTCTGGTGATTCGCGATGCTCTTCGAGCGTTGGAGGACAACGTCCGTCGTCATCGGCATTCCGCCGAGAACTTCCCGAGGTTGCCTACCGTTGTGCGGAAGACCTCGAAGATCTGGAGCGCTTTTTGCGCCGACTGCATCTCTTTGAGGATTATCGCGCTCTGTCGGAGCGGCTCCTAGCCGTCGAGTAGACGAATACGTCACTTCGTGCGACGGTGGAGCGCCTTGCGCCGGTGGAAAAGGAAATTGTTGCACTCCGTGCTCAGAATTATTGCTGGTTCAGCTTCTGGGCGACCGGGCTCCATTGAATGCCGCCATAGCAAAAACGCTTCGGCGTTCACTTGCGCCGGAACCCGGATCGGCTTAAGCAAGCCCACATAACACACCGGAAGGGTGCACACCCTTCTCGGAAGGTTCACCATATACGCAAGGCCTCGCTTGGCCACGACCTTGGATGGAACTTTGTCTTAAAGACACCAAAGACCGCATGTGTAAGAAGATCTTTAGTATTTAATAAAACCAGGTCGCCGACCTCAGACTTCATTTCTTCTGCGTCTTTCGTCTGCATATTCTTTCTGCATGTCTTGGCTTTCGGCCATCGCATCGAGAGCGTGTCGTAAGACACTCAGTCTGTTAAACAGGAATCTTTAACTTCTTTACGAACAGTGAGGGGCTGATATCAGCTAGCCGCTCGGCTATTCCTTGCCACCAAGCCTTAAATTTTGGGATGATGACGTCAGCAGGACGCGAGGATGAACTAGTCCGTTCACGTAGAACGGCGTGTAGCTAGTAGACAAATGTACTGCGTTGTTCAGAGCGAACTCTACGATGGTAGCATGTCGCCCCAGCGCCTTGGAATCTCAGTGCAGACATTGCGACGGATGTCTTCCACAACGCAATTGACGCAAAAGTTTGACCATCGATCTGCGGATGGTCCGCCGTTGACATATCCAGCTTAGTATCTAGCACATTGAAGATCGTCAATCATCAATCCCCACTGATGCGGGGGTCTATGTCAGCAACAACTGACTCCGGGAGTCCATATTGTCGAAATACACAATCCAAAAACAGCCTTGCTGTGCCGACACCGTCGATGGTGTCCAGCACCGCCGCAAGATGTGTCATCTTGCTTAAACGGTTGACGGCAAATATATATAGACGAGGTGTTGAAATCCCTGTACCAGTGGATAGTACGGGTCCGTGGGATTTTTTATAATTAAAGATCCACTTCGGGCGTTCAGCACCCTCTTGGTGTCCTTCTGGACAGCTTCATCCAGAAGCGACGACGAGTTGATCTTCTCGGAACCCCTCGTCCGTTAGACCACTTCGGCTAAGTTGCTTGCCTTCAAGGTACTGCCGAACTTTTTGCAGAACATCTCGTCCAGCTCAAGACGAGCATCCTCCGTAGTAATAGCCTCGAGGTGACGTCGCTGTCTTCCTCCCCCATCATACCGTTGACGAGGGTGTATAGCTGTGCACTATCGTCTATGGTAGCCGTACCCTTGATCAGGATCGATGCCTGCGTCTTGCAAATAATATACGGCATCGCCGTTGCCTCTTCACAGAGTTTTGCGTCCCGGCGAGACGAGAAGGAGCACGCACTCAGCGTCGTCCAATGACCCCACTCCCTGCTCCATCTTGTCATATACAAAATCCGACGAAGAGCTGCTATTTTTGCAGTCTTAGTCCAGTGGATAACGTGTCACTCCAAGCGCATCATAAGGGCCTTGCCCAAGATGCCTCGGACCTCGTTCAATCATGCCACTCTGGTCATGCATCAACTGCTTCGTAACGTGAGCAGTGCATGCCACTCCACGTGCATCACTAGACCCTCGCCCTCGATGCGTCGGCCCTTGGACGACCATGCCACTCTTGGCATGCAGCGACTGCTCCAATATTCGAGCAGCGCTCAGTGGGTTGCGTGCCACCCCACGTTCAGCCCGCTAGCCACGCTCGGGACTCCAGTCCAAAACACCTTTGGTTTTAAACAGCTCAGATACTCCAACATCCAGCACATTGACCGTCCCGTTCCAGTGCCCACGCCAATAGCACTTCTGCTTCCTATTCATGACCCACCAAAGCTCCACCGGAAGACGTGCGCGTAGCACCCAAGGTCTTAGACATTCAATCAATCAACGGATCATGGTGTTCCAAGCATGCCATACTAAGGATCAGGTTA